CTTCAAACAGAAGGTGCAAAACACAGAGCATTACAGGAAGCAGATTAAGATGTATCTTTTCCATAGCTTAAACTAGACTCTCTTCGTTTGTTTCCGTTTCTAAAAAAACTGGATGAAAAAGTAATCAGATAACGTTTATCGCTACTTATTACATCACTAGAATTATAAATATGTACGAGTTTGCCAGTAGCTCAAAATCTCAAGCTAACATTATCAAAAGGAATTTTAACTATCCGCCCACAATTTCGTTGCAATGATTTCAACTCGTGAAAACCAAGATTGCTGTCTTACTTTCTGCTTTTACTGTTTGCATATCTCACAGGCCCCTTATACAATAGGATGCTTTGATGTACAGAATGACAAAGTGATTTTTGTTTGTTGAAAATAGACACTTCGCCGCGAAACTGCCGAAAATATTTGCCGACAGCGCACCTCTACATCATGAAGACAAAAATAAACAAAACTTCTCATACACAGCCTGTACAGTCAGCAGTACCAACTGGCTTGCAGCTATAAAAACCATTAACTTATGATGTTTAGGCAGAATACTGAATAATCTATGGTAAGGTAAGATAATTTGATACCTGCATGACATCTAACAGTTGGTTGATGAGAAAGGCGGCTGGCAATGCGCTAACACCACCGGCTGGTAGCACGCAAACCTCACGACACATCGGGCAACGCAGGGAAAGTGCATCGTTCTGGAAAGAGAACAACGGATGAGACCTTATACTTAACTCAACCATTGAGCATAAGTGGAGTGCTCTGTAAGCTAGTTTTTGCTTAAGCTTACAAGAGATGAACAAGAAGTAAAGAGAGCAGGAAAAGTCAACGGAAGATTACTAATCCCAATAAACGGGTATAACTTTATACTCAGAATGATGCAGGCGGATTCAAGGTTGAATTGTAGCCTGGCAGGTACCTAATGCAACCGAATTTTATTTTAGGCTTCATGACAACCGTGTGGATGATGTCATCCCTACTGTCACCATTTATAAATTGAAACCATTTCATATGTTTTACTTACCCTAGCCCATGTTCTGTGGGTTGCAAAAGTGAACTTGATGGATTTACAATTTCTTTTTTGACAAGGATTTTCTGTTTGAACGGGCCAGCATTTCATTTATTTCTACAAGTTTTTCTTACTGTCCCTAACTAGCAATCAAAATGCGTTGAGCTAAGCGCACTTACCAGTGTACTAAATAAGTAATGAAGATACAATAACATCCAGACTGAAAACTTATACA